ATTTCCATTGTGTCGGTATTTTATACCATTTTATTTCCACTCTCTCATACACTCAGTTTCCTCTTCCTCTGCTATCCTCCTTGTCTTGTTCCGCCTCCTCTCGCCTCTTTCATCCCGTTAACAATGTTCTCGTGAAACACAATGGAACATATGTCATCGCTGTACTGTGTGTAATGTGCCAGGAAAATTTAGTGAGAGTAACGGTGGTAAAGGATACGCTATAACGATAAGAGATTAGCGGATAGACATATACCCGTACTGACAACTCCGCCAGAGGACTTACAACGACCGCGTCAAGAGTATTCACGTAGAAGAAAGTGAACCTCTCATATTGGCAAGAGCTGAGAATATCCCATTGAACGGCTACACTTGAGACGCTATCAGTGAATGTATCATTCTTACTTCCTGCTGGCATACGCAGAGTTCCCCCAGTGTTTTTCACAGTGGCCTTTGGAGGACGCGGGTGGGTTGGAGGATGGGGAAGAGAGCCTCTGTGTTTTTCTAAATCCTTGTCTTTCACCACCGGGATAATAACGATATATGTTCCTAAACTAGGTAGAAGTAGATAGTCCTCAGCAGATAGTCTCGTGTGGACCTTGAGTACCTCTTCCCATGCGTGCCTGTGTACGACCACTCTCATAGTAGGAAGACTAGTAAGATAAGAATTCGTTCGGATTTTTAACCACCGGAGGTTAGCCACCCAGATAACCCAAGAAAGTCCAGTGCGTCCATCGAGGACTGTCTAAATTATTCGAGGACTATTCGAGCAGACTCTACAGTGTTCTTCCATTCCTGTGTTTTATGTGGATAGCGATGAAGTAAGTTTCTTGGCAAGTGGTTCAGGCTAGTTTATAGAAGCCACTATTCTGGTGATGTTGTCGCTATAGAAATAAGATGATGATTCCAGGATTCTTTCGGTATTGAGTGTTGTCTTCTGTGGCGATAAGTCTCGAGTTCTTATTTTATCAAGTTGGTTGTGTGAATTACGGTTTTGTACACAGGCATTCTTGTGTCGTCAGACCAACACCGTATTCACTCAATAGAGTAAAAGTAAAAATGGGAAAGAAAAAAAATAAAGGAATAAGAAAGAATACTAACCATTCGTGATAACTACAGAAACACCGAGACTTAATCGCCACAGAAGACAACACCAATACCGAAGAATCCTGAATCATCACTATATTTCTATATCCGACTTTCAGTTGGTATAACCCTCATGCTTGGATCAGAAGGCACAGACAGCAGTGTTAAAACGGGCATTTAGCCCGATTAACATTGAAAGCTTAATGACTATTACACATTGACTCCAGGCTGAGCGCAACTTATTACCTCAAACTCCTTCTGACCTTCACCATTCCTTTCTTTCATAGAGACTGTGAGAGCCACCTGTGTAGCGTAACGTTTTCCTTAATGAAAGATACCGATATTTTGCACGATGTGTCTAAATTTATCAACCTGTCGGTTCCGAACCATTTTTTCTATCAGCTCTAAGCCAAAGGAAGGTGGACCTTGAAGGGCGCTCTACTCAAACAACTGGAGCTGATCTTTCTTGGATCAGATGTGAGACCTTCCATGGCATGCCAAAGATACGTAATTTATTTGTATTCCGCGAATGCTACACACACTCTTTAAAGGCTGCCTCTCCCAACCAGCGAAGCAGATTACTAAGGGTCGACATCGGGCCCCATCGTCACTATCAAGTGTCTTGGTTCAAGCAATATCATAATGTGAATCTGGGCAATTATAAAGGTGACCGTGGTTACCACACGCACGTTTTTACCCTTTTCATTTCCATTCTAGAGCTGTTGTGAAGCACGGTGTCCTGTTGTTCTTTTGGCGTCCTCCTTTGCCTTGATTAACCCTGGTGTGTACTTATACCTATTTCTGTACATAGTGATATAGTGTGAGCATATTGCTGTTTAAACTTGGTGATGGATAATACAAATCAGTTTATTTCTGCTGTGTTTATTTGCTCCATTTACACCCAGGATAACAGACCTTTGAGAACCTGGTTGTAATAACCTCACCATTCCCCAAGCGTTCTATGAGGGTTTTTTTACACTACTAGCTTAGTATCGCCTGAGATGTCCACTAGTTAGATGGAAAACATTCGTCCTGTGTTGTTCATGTGGTTATTGATACCCATACAGACAGCATTCTCGAGTGTTAAATTGTAAGTAAGTGTAATGTATGGTGTGTTGTTGAATATATATATATATATATAATATATATATTTATATATTATATATTGTCTGAAAGGTTTCGCATATTAAGTAATATATATTGTGAGGGCATTCAGGGAAAAGCCGGTTAGCCAGTTTCCGGAATCCCGGTGGTTGGAAGTACAAAGCCTGCACTTTAAAGAGGGGTTTTGGGATATTGGCAGTTTTGGAAGTGGCATCTAAATTTCTTATCTGCACTCTGCAAGGACAGTGATGTGTGAATGATGGTGAAGTTTTTTATTTTATTTTGAGGGGGGGGTGGAGGGGGGTGAAGAGAGGTCACCTGCCTCGTGGAAACGACCAGTGTATTTTGAAAAAAATAAAGTAAATACATCATGACGCTTGCTACATTATTCAAAAATCGAGCGAACAAGCGATAAAAGATGCAAACATCCCACGAGAGGAGTCTTGAATCAGCGTACTCTAGGCCCTTCTCCGTGTTGTCTATCAACACATCAGGGAGCTTGCGCAGTGTTGCAGAAATTATTAGGAAGTCCAGGTAAATACGTTCAAGGGAACGACTCTATGCTAGAATACATACATCATGTCATCTGTTGTGTTCACAGACACAAAAACTGCATTCTTTAATTAATGCAAAAGAAAAATGTGAGGTTAAGAAAGGGGTAATTGGATGCTGACTGTTACGGGTGATTAGGATGGTGAACCTGCTCTGCTGTTACTAGGTGATGTAGGATGGGTAACCTCTACTGTTACTGTATGTAGGAATGTGAACCTGCTTGGGCTGTTACTGGTGTGTAGGATGGGTAACCTCTGGACTGTACTAGTGATGCAGGATGGTAACCTGCTGACTGTTACCTGGTGATAGCAGATGGTAACCTGCTGAACTGTCCCCTCCCCCACCATGATCCCCCACTGCCCCATATCCCCCGCTACACCATGATCCCCCGCTCACCATGACCCTCCGCTACACCTGACCCTCCACTACACCATATCCCCCACTAACCATGATCCCTCCACTACACCATGATCCCTCCACTACACCATGATCCCTCCACTACACCATGATCCCTCCACTACACCATGATCCCTCCGCTACACCATGATCCCTCCACTACACCATGATCCCTCCGCTACACCCATGATCCCTCCGCTACACCATGATCCCTCCGCTACACCATGATCCCTCCACTACACCATGATCCCTCCGCTACACCATGATCCCTCCGCTACACCATGATCCCTCCGCTACACCATGATCCCTCCGCTACACCATGATCCCTCCGCTACACCATGATCCCTCCGCTACACCATGACCCCTCCGCTACCCCCATGACCCCTCCGCTACACCATGATCCCTCCGCTGCACCATGATCCCTCCACTACACCCCCATTATCCCTCCATAACACCCTCCACTTCACTCTCCTATTTCCACCACTATACCCCATAGGCTCCCTCCATGCTCCCTCCACTATGCCCTCCATGCTCCCTCCACTACACCCTCCATGCTCCCTCCACTACACCCTCCATGCTCCCTCCACTACACCCTCCATGCTCCCTCCACTACACCTTCCATGCTCTCTCCACTACACCTTCCATGCTCCCTCCACTACACCCTCCATGCTCCCTCCACCATGCCATGCTCTTCCAAGTGTTGTACACCAAGATAATCACAACACTGCATGATCAGTTTAATATACTGTACTGTCTCAGTACTACACTGTACTGTCTCAGTACTACACTGTACTGTCTCAGTACTACACTGTACTGTCTCAGTACTACACTGTACTGTCTCAGTACTACACTGTACTGTCTCAGTACTACACTGTACTGTCTCAGTACTACACTGTACTGTCTCAGTACTACACTGTACTGTCTCAGTATTACACTGTACTCAGTACTACACTGTACTGTCTCAGTATTACAATGTATCTTTGGTGTTGCTTCAGACTTCTTCATTGACTGGCTGATTGTACAGTATATACTGACTGACCGTTCTCATGATTGGTTAACGAACATAATAGATGCTGCATATACGTATTATGTTCACCACCAGGCAAGAATACTTAAAATTCCAAAAATAGGGATTAAGTTAACTCCTGGCATGTATACACCAAGAGACCTACACCTCTTGATGTACAGTATATATCCTGTGTAACTCCCCCATTGGTTTTCCCAACTTTATATACAGTGAAACCTTCCAGAAAATTCTCCCCTGGAATGTTTGGTCACCATTCTTACTGTAACTTGATAGAGACTGTTAATTAATCTTATGTGGTGTAAACCTTGGTAATCGATAGCAATTTTAAAAAAAAAAAAAGACATGTAAGCAAACACTCGGGCATATTTAGTAGACAATGTTTCGGTTCAGGGACCTTGTTCATGGTCACAGGACTGAAAAGTTTTTTAATAAACATGTCGTAGTGTTTGTTCACGTCTATAAACTCTAATCTCAGATGTCCTTGCTCTCAACAGCTGATTATATGTTGCAATAATCCCCACTGTCAGAGGTAACAATTCTAGATACTGTAGTACTCTGTTACCAAAAAAATGCAGAAAACACATTAGAAAGCACAGCACAGCACAAGTTTGTAGATTGTCATAATTGGCTGGAATGAATTTAGAAGGTGAGATGGTGTATGATACTCACTGCAAATGTTAAACAATGCAATACTGCATATACTTAATAATGACAAGACACCACAGGCAAAGATCTGCTTCTGTTAATGCACATAACTAATTTCAGATGGGTACAGTACTACAGATAATATATGTTCATAAATAGTTACTTTAAAAAATGTTTCCATGGGATGTTGCAGGCCATCATGACCCTGGGGATGACTACACAGAGAAGAGCTGGGAGATGGTCACACCACTCGTACAAAAACTTAAGCAGTTCTACCTCTTCTCCAATGATATAGGTCAGCTATTGGAATTTTTGTATGACTAAAAATCCTACTTAATAGCCCAGTTTAACATCAAAATACTAAATTTTTTCATATATAATTGGGAATTATGAATACATGTATTATTCAGTCTCCTTTCTTTCCACTTGTTTTGTCTACATACTGAGTATTGTAGATTCTTTTGAATGCTGCCTTATTAACTACTGTATATGGTCTACCAGTTTGGTCTGCTAGCTTCAGTATCTTCTTTGAGGTCACCTTAATTGTGTTCATTGTATTTTTTTTTAACACTTTGTCTCCCACTGAGGTAGGGTGACCTGAAACAGAAACATTTTCACCATTATTCATTCCATCACTGTCTTGCTAGAGGCTCACTGATATTACAGTTCAGATATTCCTCCAGACTAGATATCACCACCCTCCTTCGAAGGGGAGGGACTGTACTTCCCACCTCCAGGATTCAAATCTGACTAACCCCGTTTCCCTGAATCCCTTCACAATTGTTACTTTGCTCACACTCCAAACTTGACAATCCCACAACAATTTTCCTACCCTCCTAATCAAACCCTGCCTTCCCTCCACTACAGATTTATACACCCTCGAACCTTGTCTACCCTTCTAGCCTTCTTCACAGATGTACTAGATTCTGCATATTTTAATCCCACACTTCTACCCAGCCCTTAGCATTCACTTCTTTTTCATCCCCATTTATAAATGTTACAGCCATAGTGACATCACACATCCCTGGCTAAGGCCTACTATTACTGGGAAATAATCTTCTTACATACTCTAACCTAAACTTCACTATCCTCATAAAATCTCTTGACAACATTCAGTAACCTACCACCTGTTTTATTCACTTGCATAATCTACCACATTGCTCTCCTATCCACCCTATCATATATCTTTTCTAAATCTATGAAAGCAATGAAAACTTCCTTTCTAAAAGCTCCTTACTGTATATATGTACTGTAAAATGTTCATAATTGATTTTGGTATGATTTTTAGAGGCCAATATTTTCTTATACTGTATTTATCTATTCTTATGTGTCTTGCTACTATACATGTTTTTTTTTTTTTTTTGTGCTGAAACTGTTTTTGCTTTGTGATCATATTGATTTTTGTTCTTCATACTTTTAGTATTGATATGCAATGTTTTCATTTTCAGTGCAACTAAAAATAACCATTTCTTTCTATTTAGAGAGAGTGAGAGTTGTATTGGCACTTGTCTGTCTGTTTGTCTCATGATGAGGGGAAGGATTTACAATGTATATCATAAAAAGAATGTTTTTTTTTTTAACAAGTGGGCCGTCTCCCACTGAGGCAGGGTGACCTAAAAAAGAAAGAAAATCCCCAAAAAGAAAATACTTTCATCATTCAACACTCACCTCACTCACACATAATCACTGTTTTTGCAGAGGTGCTCAGAACACAACAGTTTAGAGGCATATACGTATAAAGATACACAACATGTCCCTCCAAACTGCTAATATCCCGAACCCCTCCTTTAGAGTGCAGGCATTGTACTTCCCATTTCCAGGACTCAAGTCCGGCTATATAAAAATAACCGGTTTCCCTGAATCCCTTCACTAAATATTACCCTGCTCACACTCCAATAGATCGTCAGGTCCCAAATACCATTCGTCTCCATTCACTCCTATCGAACACGCTCTTGCACGCCTGCTGGAAGTCCAAGCCCCCTCGCCCACAAAACCTCCCTTACCCCTTCCTTCCAACCTTTTCAAGGATGACCCCTACCCCGCCTTCTTTCTCCTACAGATTTAAATGCTCTCCATGTCATTCTACTTTGATCCATTCTCTCTAAATGACCAAACCACCTCAACAACCCCTCTTCAGCCCTCTGACTAATACTTTTATTAACTCCACACCTTCTCCTAATTTCCACACTCCGAATTTTCTGCATAATACTTACACCACGCATTGCCCTTAGACAGGACATCTCCACTGCCTCCAACCGCCGCCTCGCTGCTTCATTCACAACCCAAGCTTCACACTCATATAAGAGTGTTGGTACCACTATACTTTCATACATTCCCTTCTTTGCTTCCATAGATAACGTTTCTTGACTCCACATATACCTCAACGCACCACTCGCCTTTTTTCCTTCATCAATTCTATGATTAACCTCATCCTTCATAAATCCATCCGCCGACACGTCAACTCCCAAGTATCTGAAAACATTCACTTCTTCCATACTCCTCCTCCCCAATTTGATATCCAATTTTTCTTTATCTAAATCATTTGATACCCTCATCACCTTACTCTTTTCTATGTTCACTTTCAACTTTCTACCTTTACACGCACTCCCAAACTCATCCAATAACCTTAGCAATTTTTCTTTAGAAGCTCCCATGAGCACAGTATCATCAGCAAAATGCAACTGTGTCAATTCCCATTTTGTATTTGATTCCCCATAATTTAATCCCACCCCTCTCCCGAACACCCTAGCATTTACTTCTTTTACAACCCCATCTATAAATATATTAAACAACCATGGTGACATTACACATCCCTGTCTAAGACCTACTTTTACTGGGAAGTAGTCTCCCTCTCTTCTACACACCCTAACCTGAGCCTCACTATCCTCATAAAAACTCTTTACAGCATTTAGTAACTTACCACCTATTCCATATACTTGCAACATCTGCCACATTGCTCCTCTATCCACTCTATCATATGCCTTTTCTAAATCCATAAATGCATAAAAACTTCACTACCTTTATCTAAATACTTTTCACATATATGCTTCAATGTAAACACTTGATCTACACATCCCCTACCCACTCTGAAGCCTCCCTGCTCATCCGCAATCCTACATTCTGTCTTACCTCTAATTCTTTCAATTATAAACCCTACTGTATACTTTTCCTGGTATACTCAGTAAACTTATTCCTCTATAATTTTTACAATCTCTTTTGTCCCCTTTCCCTTTATATAAAGGGACTATACATGCTCTCCGCCAATCCCTAGGTACCTTCCCCTCTTTCATACGTTTATTAAACAAAAGTACCAACCACTCCAACACTATATCCCCCCCTGCTTTTAACATTTCTGTCATGATCCCATCAGTTCCAGCTGCTTTACCCCTTTTCATTCTACGTAATGCCTCGCATACCTCCACCACACTTACATTCAGCTCTTCTTCACTCCTAAAAGATGGTAAAACCTCCCTGGCCAGTGCATGAAATTACCGCCTCCCTTTCTTCCTTAACATTTAAAAGTTCCTCAAAATATTCTCGCCATCTACCTAATACCTCCCTCTCCCCATCTACTAACTCCCCTACTCTGTTTTTAACTGACAAATCCAATACTTTCCCTAGGCTTTCTTAACTTGTTTAACTCACCCCAAAAAAATTTTTTCTTATTTTCATTAAAATTTCTTGACAGTGCCTCTCCACTCTTTCATCTGCTATCCTTTTGCACTCTCTCACCACTCTCTTCACCTTTCTTTTACTCTCCATATACTCTGCTCTTCTTATAACACTCTGCTTTGTAAAAACCTCTTGTAAGCTATCTTTTTCTCTTTTATCACACCCTTTACTTCATCATTCCACCAATCACTCCTCTTTCCTCCTGCCCCCACCCTCCTATAACCACAAACTTCTGCCCCACATTCTAATACTGCATTTTTAAAACTATTCCAACCCTCTTCAACCCCCTCACTTCTCATCTTTGCACTAGCCCACTTTTCTGCCAATAGTCGCTTATATCTCGCCCGAACTTCCTCCTCCCTTAGTTTATACACTTTCACCTCCCTCTTACTTGTTGTTGCCACCTTCCTCTTTTCCCATCTACCTCTTACTCTAGCTGTAGCTACAACTAAATAATGATCCGATATATCAGTTGCCCCTCTATAAACATGTACATCCTGGAGCCTACCCATCAATACATAATCTAACAAACTACTTTCATTACGTGCTACATCATACCTTGTATATTTATTTATCCTCTTTTTCATAAAATATGTATTACTTATTACCAAATTTCTTTCTACACATAGCTCAATTAAAGGCTCCCCATTTACATTTACCCCTGGCACCCCAAATTTACCTACTACTCCCTCTATAACATTTTTACCCTCTTTAGCATTGAAATCCCCAACCACCATTACTCTCACACTTGATTCAAAACTCACCATGCATTCACTCAACATTTCCCAGAATCTCTCTCTCTCCTCTACACTTCTCTCTTCTCCAGGTGCATACACGCTTACTATAACCCACTTTTCACATCCAATCTTATTTTAATCCACATAATCCTTGAATTTATACATTTGTAGTCCCCTTTTTCCTGCCATAGCTTATCCTTCAACATTATTGCTACTCCTTCTTTAGCTCTAACTCTATTTGAAACCCCTGACCTAATCCCATTTATTCCTCTCCATTGAAACTCTCCCACCCCCTTCAGCTTTGTTTCACTTAAAGCCAGGGACATCCAGTTTCTTCTCATTCATAACATCCACAATCATCTCTTTCTTATCATTTGCACAACATCCATGCACATTCAGACTTCCCACTTTGACAATTTTCTTCTTCTTATTCTTTTTAGTAATCTTTACAGGAAAAGGGGTTACTAGCCCATTGTTTCCCGGCATTTTAGTTGACTTTTACAACACGCATGGCTTACGGAGGAAAGATTCTTATTCCACTTCCCCATGATATAAAAGGAAAAGTAATAAGACCAAGAACTATTAAGATAAAATCAAAGAAAACTCAGATGAGTGTGTATAAATAAACGTGTACATGTATGTGTAGTGTGACCTAAGTGTAAGTAGAAGTAGCAAGACATGCCTGTAATCTTGCATATTTATGAGACAGACAAAAGACACCAGCAATCCTACCATCATGTAAAACAATTACAGGCTTTCATTTTACACTCACTTGGCAGGACGGTAGTACCTCCCTGGGTGGTTGCTGTCTACCAACCTACTACTGTATTTCTTATAAACATAAAATCAGGACCTTTAACTAACTTTGAGTTTTTTTTTTTTTTACTTTTACTAATTATGCATTGTTAATGCTGTGGAAAGCATTGTGCTGAGTGAAGCACCATTGCTACATTAACCCTTAAACTGTCCAAACATTGATCTATGTTTGCATGCGTAGCACTCCGAACGTAGATCTACTTTTTTTTTTTTGCATAAACAATATAAAATTGAACGTAGATCTTCATTCAGAGCGCTACGTGTGTGAACGTAGATCTACGTTTGGACAGTTTAGGGGTTGATGGAGTCATAAGAAACAGAAAATAAAGCAGGTCTTTTTTTTTTATAATAAAAGAATATATTTACAGAGATGATCGTTCCACGTATTCTAGCAGAATTGTGTGGGCCAGAGATATCTCCAACTCAGCATCTGGAAACGCAGCAAGCACTGGTCAAACAGTTTGCTGAAATACTTGAATTTACTCTTAAATTTGATGAACTTAAGGTAAAGGATATATTCTTTTTAGGTTTAAAAATTGTTGATATCACAGTAAATGTACTTTTATTTTTAAGAAATCAGCTATATCTCACCCAGGCAGGGTGACTGAAAAAGAAATACAAAAGAATTTCTTTTTAAATTTAGTAATTTATACAGGAGAAGGGATTTAAATGTATTTATTGATTATTAAAACTCTGGGGCCCTTTTCAGTTTACACTTCTACTTAATTCTTGATACTACTATGTAGACGGGCTTATGAATTGATTGTGGCAGCAATTTCCCTCTTTGTAATTAACTACAGTACATATTTATATCTTCAGTAGCAGAGTTATGCTTTTAGTGTATGTATGAAAGTGTGTTCAAGAGAATATTGGGTTGCACTTCCTCTCTTGGCAACTGATTTACTAAACAAATGTTTGAATGAGGTTTTCCTGTGTGTCTGCTTTATTTACAACATTTTTAGGGAACCAGGCTTTCATTGAGAATATTTATTTTTTCACATTGCCTAGAAATATGATAGCATCCCTTATTTGCTATTTTTAAAGTGTTTTGATTGTGTCTGCTCCTCCTGTAGATGACAACCCCAGCCATCCAGAATGATTTTAGTTACTATCGTCGCACCGTCATGCGTCTCAAGATTGAACACAATGGTATGGAGACTGTCGAAGATGATGTAACAATAGACCATCAACTGGCAAATAAAATGAGTCTCTTTTATGCCAATTCCACTCCGATGCTCAAAATCCTTAGTGAAGCTACTTCCAAATTTGTTACTGAGGTAATGAATGTTTTGTGTGCTGTTTTATGAAGAAAATAAATACAGTAGTGAAATACTTAGGTACAGTAGTGTAATACTTAAAATGTGTTAAATCTGTTTACTTTTTAAAGTTATTAAGTTTCATGTTTTTTTATAAATAAGATTAAACTAATTAAATGTATTATGTAGTTGATCCTCACAAGAAGCACTGGTTATGTTCTAGAAAATTTGGAGTATGTGTTGTCTGGTTCTAAAGTTTAAATTTAATTGGCATACAAAACATTTTCAATGATTGGACATTTAGTACAAATATTAATCCAGTTTCAAAACTTATCTTGAAGAATGCATAGGCACATACTAGGTACAGATCTTTTTGATATATTATTTTTTTTTTTTTCAACAAGTCGGCTGTCTCCCACCAAGGCAGGGTGACCCAAAAAAGAAAGAAAATCCCCAAAAAGAAAATACTTTCATCATTCAACACTTTCACCACACTCGCACATTATCACTGTTTTTGCAGAGGTGCTCAGAATACAACAGCTTAGAAGCATATACGTATAAAGATACACAACATATCCCTCCAAACTGCCAATATCCCAAACCCCTCCTTTAAAGTGCAGGCATTGTACTTCCCATTTCCAAGACTCAAGTCCGACTATATGAACATAACCGGTTTCCCTGAATCCCTTCACTAAATATTACCCTGCTCACACTCCAACAGATTGTCAGGTCCCAAGTATCATTCGCCTCCATTCACTCCTATCTAACACGCTCATGCATGCTTGCTGGAAGTCCAAGCCCCTAGCCCACAAAACCTCCTTTACCCCCTCTTTCCAACCCTTTCGAGGACGACCCCTACCCCTCCTTCCTTCCCCTATAGATTTATATGCTTTCCATGTCATTCTACTTTGATCCATTCTCTCTAAATGACCAAACCACCTCAACAACCCCTCTTCTGCCCTCTGACTAATGCTTTTATTAATTCCACACCTTCTCCTAATTTCCACACTCCGAATTTTCTGCATAATATTTACACCACACATTGCCCTTAGACAGGACATCTCCACTGCCTCCAACCGTCTCCTCGCTGCTGCATTTACCACCCAAGCTTCACATCCATATAAGAGTGTTGGTACTACTATACTTTCATACATTCCCTTCTTTGCCTCCATAGATAACGTTTTTTTGACTCCACATATGCCTCAACGCACCACTCACCTTTTTTCCCTCATCAATTCTATGATTAACCTCATCCTTCATAAATCCATCCGCCGACACGTCAACTCCCAAGTATCTGAAAACATTCACTTCTTCCATACTCCTCCTCCCCAATTTGATATCCAATTTTTCTTTATCTAAATCATTTGATACCCTCATCACCTTACTCTTTTCTATGTTCACTTTCAACTTTCTACCTTTACACACATTCTCAAACTCATCCACTAATTTTTGCAATTTTTCTTTAGAATCTCCCATAAGCACAGTATCATCAGCAAAAAGTAACTGTGTCAATTCCCATTTTGAATTTGATTCCCCATAATTTAATCCCACCCCTCTCCCAAACACCCTAGCATTAACTTCTTTTACAACCCCATCTATAAATATATTAAACAACCATGGTGACATTACACATCCCTGTCTAATACCTACTTTTACCGGGAAGTATTCTCCCTCTCTTCTACACACCCTAACCTGAGCCTCGCTATCCTCATAAAAGCTCTTTACAGCATTTAGTAACTTACCACCTATTCCATATACTTGCAACATCTGCCACATTGCTCCTCTATCCACTCTATCATATGCCTTTTCTAAATCCATAAATGCAATAAAAACTTCCCTACCTTTATCTAAATACTGTTCACATATATGCTTCAATGTAAACACTTGATCTACACACCCCCTACCACTCTGAAGCCTCCCTGCTCATCCACAATCCTACATTCTGTCTTACCTCTAATTCTTTCAATTATAACCCTTCCGTATACTTTTCCTGTATACTCGGTAAACTTATTCCTCTATAATTTTTACAGTCTCTTTTGTCCCCTTTCCCTTTATATAAAGGGACTATACATGCTCTCCGCCAATCCCTAGGTACCTTCCCCTCTTTCATACATTTATTAAACAAAAGTACCAACCACTCCAACACTATATCCCCCCCTGCTTTTAACATTTCTGTCATGATCCCATCAGTTCCAGCTGCTTTAACCCCCTTTCATTCTACGTAATGCCTCACGTACCTCCACCACACTTACATTCTGCTCTTCTTCACTCCTAAAAGATGGTATACCTCCCTGGCCAGTGCATGAAATTACCGCCTCCCTTTCTTCCTCAACATTTAAAAGTTCCTCAAAATATTCTCGCCATCTACCTAATACCTCCCTCTCCCCATCTACTAACTCCCCTACTCTGTTTTTAACTGACAAATCCATACTTTCCCTAGGCTTTCTTAACTTGTTTAACTCACTCCAAAATTCTTTTGATATATTAATCTTATGTAAATAAAAGACCCAACATATGGAATTCTGTGCTAGAAGATTCTAAAAGTTTCCTGTCTAGGTGTGTAGGCGGCAGGTTAGACTGCATTTGTTTTGGGAGGTGCCTTGTAGGATACGAGGATAACATTGAAAGTGGTTGTGTCTGTGGAAGACAGACCACTTGTATGTCATGTGATGAGATTTTAAAATTTAAATTCATGAGAGTACTCTTCAGTTTTTACACTTCAACTATTTACCTGTATTTGGTTTCACTTTTGAGATAGTATTATGACAAAAAGGCAGGTTGAATGAGCTTCTTGTGACTCTACCTCTATGTATTGTAATTTGAAATAAGGGGTAAGTTTACTGTTCTTTTTTTATCACTGCAATTTTATTTTTCATTTACAACAGCACAAGGAGATTCCTTTAGAAAACACAACAGAAACTCTAGGTACTATGGCTAAAGTCTGCCAAAGAATGTTGGAAAATCCGTGAGTATTGTTGATTTGCCTGTCTTGCATCTTACAAATCTTAATTACCTTAAAGATAAACTGTACATGTACATAATGCAGCATCTAGTTTATTTCCTCTGACCAGTGACTCCCAACTTTTTTCAGTATGGCAATCCCTTTTCAGCTTCAGAAAATTTGAAAACGCATTATGACAAACTCGGTAATGCTTAATGAACTGTCTGGAATAACTCAGACCCTCCAGGGGTCCAAGGCTCATGGGTTGGCAGTTACTGTTCTAAACTTTAATAATTTGCAGAGGAAGCTTAAGACTGATACATATAGGAAAAACAATATATAAGTGCGAAAGAAAAGCAAAATTGTTGTACTATACTCAGATCATATACTGTTGCCAGGATTATCAGAGCTTTTTAACTATTATGTATAGCATTGTACAGTGCATAAATTACTAGGGTTGACTGCTAAAAATTTTTTAAGAATCCTTTATAAAATAGAGGATTTTTTTTAATTACATAGCTGTTTTAAGTAACAGACTGTGACCATCGAACCTTTATCGGATTCTTTTATTTCAGAGAATTAATAGCCAGATTCCGACGTGAGGAGACACAACTCTTCATCTTAAGGGTCATGGTTGCACTCATTATTCTTTATGACCATGTTCATCCAGTGGGTGCTTTTGTAAAGGCTTCCAATGTTGATGTAAGTTTATCATCTTAATATCTTTGCATGTAATCAATGTGAATGTATATTAATTGCCATTATTTTAGTTTTATATCCTCCATTGAAGACTCAGGATAACTGCCTCCAGATATTTATCTTGCTGGAAGACAGATACAGCCCAGAACAGTGCTGAAGCACTAACTTTTCAATTAACATATAATGTAAGTAGTTAGAATTAGTTTTTCTGTGAATTATGGGTGTATTTTTTTCCTGATGTACTGGTCACTGACAGTCATGAAACTTGTGTATTGAGCACAAGAGGAATGACCATACTGTATCATACATGGCTGATTAGGTCAAACATAGTTTACATTTGTAGTTAACGTAAACTACCCTTCAAAGGGGAAGCGTTTTGAAGTTGCTGAAAGGCTTTTGATTCAAGAAATTGGAGCTATCCTTCCCTTTGCATTAAAGCTAATTACCTCCCATTCTCCAGTTGCCATTGTAATAAGTTTTAGTTCTTATGCATGAATATAGTCTGGTTAGTCAGACTTGAGCCCTGGAGGTGGGAAGTACAGTGCCTGCTCTCTGAAGAGGGAGTGGAGGATATTGCAGTTTGGAGGGGCATTGGAACTGTAGTGTTGGTGTGCCTCTGGCAAGACCAAGTGATGGTGAAAGTGTTTCTTCTTTTTTGGGTCACACTACCTCAGCAGGAGACAGCTGGTGTGTTAAAAAAACTTGTTCTTGGCTGATATTAAACCTCTGACTTGCATAGATTGACAGTCCAATGAGTGCCACTCCTTTACTCTTGGGGAAAATTGAAAAAATCCAAGATGATTGCTAAGTGGTTGCCAATTATCATAAATACTAAGACATGCAGATCAACATGAAGCTCTGGAACTAGTCTTGTTGGCAAACCTTTGCACTTTCTCTAATTTATGACATGCTTGACCAGGTGTGGTTCCAAACTAGGGGTTGCATACCCAGTATGGGCCTGACATACACATGTACAGAGTCTTGAACAGTTCCTTACTGAGGAATCGGAACCCTATTCTCGGGTTTGCTGGGCGCCCATATGCGCAGCAGTCATCTGGTTGATGTGAGCCTCGGGTGATGTGCTCGGTATTTACTCGCCCCAAGATCCTTTTTGTGAGTGGGGTTTTGTAGTCTTTGGCCACCTAGCCCAGACACTGTCTGCAGTCTTCTTTGCCCTTTTCCTGATCTTCATGACTTTACATTTGGTGGGGTTATATTCGAGGACCAGTTGTTGGGCCAGGCTTACAACCTGTCCAGGTCTTTTTGGGTATTCCTGCCTGATTCTCATCTGATCTAATTCTCCTCATTAGCTTCACAATCTGCTAACAGGGACACTTCTAAGTCTATCCCTTCCATTATTTCTTTCCCCACAAACCAAAAATAGCACTGGTCCTAGAACGGGCCCCTGTGGAACCCCACTTGTCGTAGCCCCAACTCTGACACCTCGTCACATACCATGACTTGTTGTTGCCTCTGCCCATGTATTCTCTGATCCATTGCAGTGCCCTTCCTGTTATGCATTGCCTGATCCTCTAGCTTTTGCACTAATCTCTTGTGAGGAACTGCCCGACAGCCTCTTGGAGTTCAAGAAAATGCAGTCTACCCACCTCTCTCTCTCTCATGTCTTACTGCAGTTACCTTGTCATAAAACTTCAGTAGGTTTGTGACACAGGTTTTTCCCTTTCCTCTGAATCTTGTCTGGTTGCGTTTATAAGCTATTCTGTTAAAGGGTGCTGCACCACCCCCTGATAATCTTCTCCACGACTTTGCATACTATACACATTAGTGACACTGGTCTGTAGCTTAGAACCTCGTGTCTGTCTCCTTCCTTAAAAAAGGGGGACATGTTTTGCAGTTTTTCCATACGTCAGGTATTTGCCCAGTTGCAATGTACGTGTTGAAAAATTGTTGTTAGTGTGAATGATGGTGAAAATGTTTCTAATGATTCTTTTCTGGATCATCCTCTCTGTGGGAGATGGCCAGTGTTTTTAAAAAAAAAAAAAATCTTGCACCAGTTTAAAAAATAAAATTAAGAAATAGACTCCTACATACTCCAGTAAAAAACCAGAGCCTTCAAAGAAGAATACACCAGTCGGTTATGGGTTCCCAACTGGTTCACAGATATCTGGCCTAGACCCATGAATAGGCTTCCATTAAATCTTGTGATTCATGCAGTGCAAACAAGTAATTTGCCTTTACTAGGACTTTGTCCTTAAAACATATTTTCAAAAATTATAGTGGTTATTGTAGGGAATAAGTTTTTTATAATGTACAAAATTTCATTAAAAAAAATATTCCTCTTACAGGTGAAAGGATGTGTGAAAGTTTAAAAGATCAGCCTGCATCGAGTTCAGAAAATCTTTTTAAATGCTCTCAGGTAATTATCTCTTAATTAATTCTGTATCATATATCATTAAGTATATAAAATATGGCAAGGTAACATATCAGTTGTAAATGGGACTTAGCCAAGTAAATTTCAAGGTCAAACACACACACACTAACATAAATAATTTACTGAGCTACCTATCTTGTCATGGCAGCAGAACAGAACATAGGACTTTTTAATGGTTTAAGAAGTCGTAGGATTATTTTATTCAGTCGCCCTTTGATGAAGAATGCAGCTAAAATCATGGGTGGTGCCATGGAGAGAAAAGGGGGGGCTGAAGTCCCCAAATCCCTTCCCAAAAATAAAAATAGTAAAAAACAGTGCTTCAAGACAATTTCCCTAGCTTTCTCTTCCAACCAGATTGCCACTCTTTAGTCCCTAATACATAAAACTTCGGTGGTGCCCTTGTGCTACATCAGTAAAACCTTCCTTGAACATAGCTCTCCACAGAAACTTCATCACTAACTGCAGGAAAAGCAAAGAGGAGAATATACTACACATGCAAAATAAACTTCCAATCCCACCCAGTAAAATTACATAGTCCTCCCTGTCAACAACACAAGCAGTTAACGCTCTGGATCCTTAGGCCAAGGCCAGCATCAGAATTGTCAACATATCCTCTGTTATGAAAAAAGGGCCTAGATAAAAAGAAAATTGTAACCAAGGACACCACTGCCAGTGTCTACATAATACCATATGGAGGTTGTGATATGTTTTATGTGGGTGAAACTTCCAGGAGGAAACTAAGCATAAGGATCATTGAACACAGATACATCTGCCAGAAGGATGACATGAACAATGCAATGCTATTCACTAGAACACGATAAATTATTTGATGAAAATCTGACACCAGATTAGTTATCAAAGGAGGAGTCAGACATAATAGGCTGTACTTTGAATCTTCTCTGAGTGCTGCTACTAGCTCCAGCACACAGAACTCAAAATTATTCATAATCTCAGAAGCACTGTAGAAAAAACATATTCTCACCAGACATAATACTGCTGTTATTTAAAACTATATATGGAGGAGCACTGCACTTGGCCTATTGGCCCTTCATAATTTAAAAACATTCAGTGATTCAACTTAGCTAAATCACATTACAACAGGAGATTTCCACAATGCCCAGTTCGAACAACTCGCCTCGTGCCCTTTTCTACTGTATATATGCCATATTTGCTTGTCTCTGTGAGAAGTGATAAAGTACCTGGTGGATGAAATGCTTTTTCAATAAAATGCCTTAAACTGCTTTTTTAAACTGCATATTGTATTGAATATTGTCAGATCTTCAATTTTAGTTTTATAATTTTAAGGAACAAGAGAGAATTGCAAAGCAAGAATGGTAATTTTAAAACATCATTAAAATTTCCAGTAGAAATAGCAATGTTACCACATTGTTACTCAGTGATAGTATCTTTGGCTCACAACTGAAGGACCTGGGTTCATTTCTGTGCAAGCCAAGACACTGGGCTTAAACTTGTTGCCCCCTGTTCACAAAACAAAAATGGATACCTAGTGATAGCCAACTGCTGTTTAATTGTATCCTGGGGCAGTGAATATAATAGTATGAACCATATATAGGACTGGGCTTTGAAATGAGCTGAGGTAGGATATTTACTTTGAGCCTGTAGCTTCAACAGATCAACAAAGATGAAACCTTTGCCTATATTAGCTAGTCTGTTTTACCAGTATGTTCTCTTCCTTGCAGATATACAACGAAGCACCTTAATGACGACAACAACCTCCCTAAACAGATTATATGTTGCTCTCAGTATAACATATTACTATACTTTTATAATGGAAGTAGAAATTAAAGCAGAGACAGTATATGATAATGTTTCTTGTGATGTTTTCCCTACCATGATCATTTTTAAAACCCCCGGATTATCTGAACCATTGCTGTGATTCTTGGTCGGTTAATTGAATAATTATTTCTACAATACCTGTTATAAATTATTTTTAAGCTTTTGACTGTTGATGTGCATTATTGAAATCATTGTTTTATATCCAGTTACTACATTTTAAATTTTTTAAAAGTGACACACAAGCTGAATCATTACAGAAATTAGTTTTTATGTAACCCTCTTCAATAATCAGATGAAAAACTAGTCGTTGTATGATTTTTTAGTCAGTATAAAAAATTTATGCTTTCATATATTAAATGTTGTTTAGAGCAGAGCCACATGTATAATTTTCCTTAGTGTCATCACATTTTTATTATTTTACTTCATATTAAAGTATTTGTTGTGATCCTTGCTGAACTGTTATCATACTGGGTGTGTGTGGCATGCACGTGTGTGTGGGGTGCATGTATGTGTGTGTGCACGTGTGTGGTGCACGTGTGTGGGGCACGTGTGTGTGCACGTGTGTGTGTGTGTGTGTGCGCATGTGTGTGTGCATGTGTGTGTACTCGCCTATTTGTACTCGGCCTATTTGTGGTTGCAGGGGTCGATTCATAGCCCCCTGGGGCCCGTCTCTTTGCTGATTGCTACTAGGTCCTCTCTCTCCCTGCCCCAATGAGCTTTTTCATACTTCGCCTTAAAACTATGTATGGTTCCCCCCCCTCCACTACGTCACTTTCTAGGGTATTCCATGGCTTGACTACTCTATACTGAAGAAATACTTCCTAACATCCCTTTGATTCATCTGAGTCTTCAACTTCCAATTGTGACCTCTTGTGTCTGTGTCCCTTCTCTGGAACATCCCGTCTTTGTCCCCCTTGTCTATTCCGCGCAGTATTTTATATGTCGTTATCATGTCTCCCCTGACCCTCCTGTCCTCCAGTGTCGTCAGGCTGATTTCCCTCAACCTTTTTTCGTAGGACAATCCCCGTAGCTCTGGGACTAGTCTTGTTGCAAACCTTTGCACTTTCTCTAATTCTTGACGTGCTTGCTAGGCGGGGGATTCCAAACTGGGCTGCTACTCCAGTATGGGCCTGACGTGTGTGCATGTGCGTGTGTGTGCGTGTGTGTGTGCGTGTGTGTGCGCGTGTGTGTGTGCATGTGTGCATGTGTGTGTGTTTCATGTGTGTGTGTGCATGTGTTGTGCATGTGTGTGTGTGCATGTGTGCATGTGTGTGGTGGCATGTGTGTATGTGCATGTGTGTATGTGTGTGTGTGCATGTGTGTGTGTGCATGTGTGTTTTGTGTGCATGTGGTGTGTGTGTGTGTGTGCATGTGTGTGTGTGCATGTGTGTGTTTTGTGCATGTGTGTGTGTGCATGTGTGTGTGTGTGCATGGTGTGGGTGTGGGATGTGTGTGTGTGCATGTGTGTGGCATGTGTGTGTGTGCATGTGTGTGTGTGCATGTGTGTGTGGTGCATGTGTGTGTGTGCATGTGTGTGTGTGCATGTGTGTGTGTGCATGTGTGTGTGCATGAGTGTGTGTGCATGAGTGTGTGTGCATGAGTTTTGTTGCATGAGTGTGTGTTTCATGAGTGTGTGTGCATGTGTGTGTGCGCACGTGTGTGTGTGCACGTGTGTGTGCACGTGTGTGTGCACGTGTGGGGTGCACGTGTGTGTGTACGTGTGTGCATGGTTGGTGTGTGTGTGTGGGACGTGTGTGTGCACGTGTGTGTGTACGTGTGTGCATGTGTGTGTGTGTGTGTGTGTGTGTGTGTGTGTGAGAACAATGTAACACTGCTTGCCAATACTTAGTATAAAGGGGAGTAGCATAGAGTAGGTACTGAGAGGGACATAATACCATAAGAACATACTTTGACTGAAGTATACCAATTTCTGCACAATAAAAGTTAATATTGAGACAGTGTTGAAGCAAATTAAATGCAGGTAGCTCTAAAACTTCAAGTAAATAAAATCTAGATACATTTTTTTATCAATCTGATATTTTTCTTACATGTTGATAGCTACGGTAAAATTTAAAAAAAAAATCTAGCTTTTAACAAATAAAAGTTACTATAATATTTACTACATGTGGAATAAAAAGTAACACCTGTGTGGCCAGCAAGTGTTAAATAACTAAGTTGATCTGATCTTATCCTCTGTTTTAAAGGAGTTATTTATTTGCATCATTCTCCGAAATGTGTCACTCATATATAAAGATTTAAGACATTTTCATCTTTACATGAATAATTGCCATTTGTCTTTTAATGATGTCTAACGGGCAACAAAATTTCTAGTGCCGTTTTATTTTCTCTTTAAACAAAAGACTGATGTAGAAATTTGGGTTTCTGATATAATAGAGGGTGAGCTCATATCTGCTAGTTCTCATGTTGGGTTATCATCTGCTCAGTTGTTAGTTTAAGATAAAGGATTAGCTATCCAAGGTAGTCGTGTACATAGTAAAGCAGACTTACGTTTATACATTTCTTGAAGATAAGGTTCTTGTGCATCATTACCTCTATAATCTGTTTCACAGATAATAAAGTTTAATAGTAAAAAATATTCCCTCTTCAGGAGGATTTAACATATGGTTCCCTTTTTAAATTGGGACATGCCTTTTTTAATGTGCATGTACAATTTAAAGTAATGATGGTAGAGAGGTTCTTTGGTAGCACATTGTGCACATTTTTTTAATAATCTGCTGCACTGAGTGTGACATATTTTTAATATTTATAATTTTTGTAACAGCTTACCAATCAAAGCCCAACAGACCACCTCAGATGCCAAACAGACCCTCACAAATTGCCCATTAAAGTACAAACACTGTCGACATAGTCAGAACATTATATTGTTGTAGAGAAACTTGGGAGTAAAGTGAGAGACTAATGGATTGCTTGATTACCAGTCACAAAATAAATCTGTTATTTTGGTATGTGCTCTCACACTTATATAAAGTATGTGTATTAGGAAGTAAGCCTAATGTTTTTCTATTTTTTGTAATTTTTGAAAGGTGGACTTCGTGTTTTTTTTAAATAATTACCTTACTTTTAAATTAATGCTTTCTGAATATAGAAAGTAGGAAAAATGGGGAGAGGTGTTTATTTAAGATGAAAAGTTGAAATGCCAAAATAACAAGATT